TTTCTCTGAGTGGCAGGAGGATCTGCAGGAAAAGGTTAGTGGCTGTGGAGGATAAACAGGAGTTTAACAGTCCTGAACAGTTCCTGTTAGCCGGCCTGCACTGATCCTACTGATAGAATTACATAACCCAGAACAGCCCAGCATTAACTGTGCCCACTTTGTCCCATCGAGGGCTCGGACCGGCAGGCTGACGGGTCGCCTGTCCACCCAGAGGCTAACACAGCGAGACAGAGGAGCGTGCTCGTTCATGGATGTGTGCACGAAAGGATAATCAATGAACCCAACAAGCAGGTCATGTGACTGCAGAGGGAGCATGGAGACCCAGCAGCAGGTCCGACCCAGAGGAAACACGGGCCGCTTCCGCTAAACGGCTCCATTATCAGGAAACAAACAGTAAATGATCATTTAGTTTATTATAAAAAGATTCTCAAAGTTTCACTGTTTCTCTGCAGTCTGACTCACTCATTCAACCACATGAATGCCTCTGTGGTGGAGCAGCACTGCCCCCGCGTGGAGAAACAAGTAACTACAAGTCTTATTTTGGATTCCACCTTCAGAATTAGATTAAGCAATTAAGATCATCCATTGTTTTCCTTTTTTTAAATATATTTCTCTTTGTCATCAGGATCTCCCCAAAGAAGAAGAAAATAAAAAAAAACTTCAAAAGGAAAGTGTCAATGTTCACAAATGGCCCCCGTTTGCTTAATTTTATGAAAGTGATGATGAGAAAAACAAATATTTATTTGCTCCACATTAATAGGTTATCATAAGAGGAAGAGAGAATAAGTCATAACTTCAGATCATAAACTTCACTGTTAGCTTAAACTACCACAGCTGTTCACCAGTTTCACCTCAAGGTTGCTCCTCAGATTGACTTATGACATCACTTCCTCCTGCGAGTAGCAGGTCAGATGAACAGGCTTAATTACAGGAGAAACAGAAACCTGTCATGTCTCCATGTATTTTAGATGTGACTGAGAGAAAGTGATGAGCAGCTGGTCGTTTATGGATCTATGCGCAAGGATAACACAATCCGAGGTGAAAATAAGCGGTTTTAAACTACTGTCATGTTTGGCAGCCATGTTGGATTGTGAGACTTTTGAGAGAAAGTTGGCATTACAACTTTAGGAGATTTTCTTTACTAACAAGCAACCAAGCAGAGACTCTGGTCCCACCCCCATGGCAGCTGGATCGTGGAAGAAAAACATCATTTTCTGCACTTCCAGCATGAGCTACAGCATTTCTGGTTGTATATTCCAGAAGAGCATGTGTTTTACTTTCCCATTGTGTCTCCCTTCCTGTCTCTCTAATGTCAAATTGCAGTGAGCTCTGAACAAATTAGACAGTATCTGAGTGGAACAGGCGGTTGCAGAGAGTCAGTGTATGTTCGTCTGGTTTCCAGAGAGGATTGTCTGCAGAGGGCGCTCCTGACCATGTGCTGCCTTCACATCTCAAGCAGACTCCATCATCAAGCCACCGAGGATTTAAGGATCGTTATCCCTCAGATTAAGCTCATCTAGTCTCCTAGTGAAGATCCTACCACTAATTACTGTGCGTTAAACTCACCTCCACTTTCTCTGCACTCAGGTCTGTGTGCAAAGCTCTTCAGATCTTCCTCCATGTTTGCAGTTCGCCACCTCTCCACCCCAACCCTCACCAGACCGTCTGGGCCAGGAGGAAGAACTTCTTCAGTCGCACATTTTTGCATCTCGTAAATAAACTGCCTTTTACTTTCAAATGGGTTTCTGCATGAAAGTGCAGCATTCCAGCCTCCCTCTGACTAGACTCACCTGTTTCAGATTGACTTTCACTTCTTAAATGTTGTCTTGGTCTGGAGTACTAACAGTCTAAATATGACACATCAGAAACAGGTGAAATATGGGCTGCTCTTCATAATGAAAAGCTTCTGGTCCAGTTCTTCATTCAGGTCTCCAGCAGAACCCAGACTTGCTCTGGCTGGTTTCTCTTTGACTGAATTTGAATGGAGCCATTTTCCCAGCCTGAGAGTCATCGACTTAATGAGAGATCTGTTTGCTCAGCGCTCAAAAGAGACTCCCAGAGTTCACTTGGGGGCTCCTGTGATGTTTCCCATGTCCACTTGAAGGACTCAGTGAGGAAGAGGACGGGCAGTCCTTCAGCGGCATGCTGGTGGGCCTCCAGCCAGCTTCCACCGCCCGCCGTCTGCCTCTCAACGAACCACAACCCTCTGTGTTCAGGAGGCCAGGGAAGCATCCGGAGATGATGGGAAGCGTCAAACTCCAGACAATCCAAGACCTAAATAGCATCCGGTGCAGCATTGAAATCAATGAGGAAACTATTGATCAGTAGAACATCTCTGAAAAGACGATTAATCTGACTTTTGATGCACATAAATATGACAAAATTTTATGTCAATGAACCAAACCCAGAAGAAGGGAATGAAAATATTGGTGCAAAGTTTTCAAAGGTTTTAGAAAGTAGCAGCCAGATTTGTGTCAACACAATGCAGATGCAGAAAGACATCAGAGCAACAACTGGTCCCACCATTAATCTGGGAAAAGTTCAAAGGTCGTCTCCAAACCATCTGAAGTCTATTATTCTGCAGAGATTATTCCCAAGAGGAAAACATATCAGACAGATACTACATGCAAGCCGTCCTGTAATATTTCACACCCCGAATCAAAGCTTTATTTTATGCAGCTCTAATCTGAATGCTCGGATTAAATCATCTCCAGTTTCCTGTTTAAAAACACAAAGTCTCATTCTCATCAGTGAGGTTTCATTTGGACTTTGTGGCCTTCATGCTGAGAACATCAGAGCTGCTGTTTGGTCACTGAGGTCTTCATGGGTCAGAGTTTTACTTTTTTAGAGGTTTCAGTGGAAACATCTTGTCAGTGAAGGTGTTTGTGTGTGTGTGTGTGAGTGTATGTGTGTGTGTGTGTGTGTGTGTCAGAGAACGACAGCTTTCCTCCATCACCGTCCAGATTCACGTTGATCCTCTGGATCTGGTGACTGACCTTCACAGAACCGACGGGTCGGCCTTTCAGAGATGACCCATCCGACTCTCAGCCCTCCAGACAGTTTCATGTGGAGACGATCAAGATGCTAGTTTCTACTGAGAGGAGCAAACACTGAGTGGAGATTCAGTCCTTCAAAGCTCTCAGGATGTCAGTTGAGACAGGGATGTCTGGTTTCCCTCTTGGCCCTGTTGCCCTTTGACCTGAACAAATGGATGGATGACTGCATGAATCCACCAGCTGATCTTCTTGTCAGCACAAAAACCTTCTGGGTTTTATGTACCTATCATGAAAAATAACATTTGTTTCTGAATGAGTGAGTCCGTTTCAGTTGGTTGCAGAAAACATTTGGTCACATGACCTGTGCAGGATTAAAAGCTGAGTGTGGTTCAAACTGGGGACAGTTGGTTTTAGGGATATTCCTGCCTCTGGTTGAACTGGTTTCTCAGGAAAACTGAGCAGTTTGGCTTTGAGCTTATCCGGCCGTTCATCCTGCTCTACATCTCGGCCTCTTTCTGCTCAGTGACGGGGGGCAGCTGGTGGGAGGCAGAGGGTGTTGTAGCTTAGCAACTCCCTCAGTGGATGGGGATTGATATGCAGCGTTATTCAGCCGTCTCTCTCTGAGCTGCAGGAGGAGGGGGCCTGAACAAAGCGCTCCTTATTGCGGCCTCCCCTCCTCCTCCTCTTTGCCCAGGCACAACGATGTGGGAGGACAAATATTTCAGCTCAAAGGAAACGAGACGCAGCAGCGGCTCATGAACCGAAACTCAGACCGACGGCCTCCAGGTGTTTCAGCTTTATTATATTCATGCAAATATTAAAGCCATAAATCAGCAGCTGGAGTTGGAGCTGCTGCTTTGGGTTTAACCTCACAGCATCTCTATTATCTGGCTTATAGAGGTCCATCCATTGAGGTCCATCCATCACAGGACAACACAGAGACACAATCAACCCTGCACACATTTCAAAGACCAGTCAGCCTAACAGTCCTGGTTCTGGACTGTGAGAGGAAGCTGGAGTACCCAGAGAGAACAAACCGGGAGAACACAATAACAGCCAGGCTGGGTGTAGAGCCGGCCTCCTTACAGTTTTATCCATAAAACGTCTTTAGAGCTTCATTGAACTTCTTCCATAAATAACTAGAGTTGCATAACCTCGAGTTATGGCTCTAGACGACAGTTTGGTCCAGAGCTGCATGTAGGATGTGAAACCTGGATGTTTACAGCTTTAAATTTTGATGGAGAGAAAAGTGTATGTATGAAAAACATAGGAGAAAAATCCTGCATGAATTGTGATGTTTCCAGTTTGACAGATTTGACTGTCCAGAATGTGGACAGCAGGAGGTCGGGCCTATTTCTGTAAAACGTAAACAGATATTTCTCAGGAAGAGACTGGATCTCAGTGAAACTTTCCTGAAAACAGAAATAAAATCTTTAAACTTATTAAAGTGGTTTTTTCCCACTAATTTTTGAGTAGAAATAGAACCAAAGTTCAGCTTCATGGTTTCTGCTGACCAGGAAACTTTGTGAAACAGCAACCAGCCAATCAAATCTCTGAATACACCTGACCAATCCCAGTGTGTGGATCAGTCAGTCAGGGAGTTTCTTGTGTTAGGATGACGTTTTAGTTTGAACCTGGAATAAAAGAAAATCTGAAGAAGGTTCTGGAAACCCGTCGGCTAAGTGAGGAATTCCTGCGTTTTCTCCAGAGCAACCGGTCACAGAGCGTCTGTGTTCATTCAGTCTGCAGCTCATTGTGAAGCCGTGACCTTCAGTAATCCAACAACAACAAAAAGGAGCGTCACAGTCAGGCATGGTGGGTCGGTGAGGCGGTGGGCGTGCAGCTGCTCAGCACTCCTTTCAGAGCCCAGTCATCCCCGCCTTCCAGACAAAACGCAACCAAACAGCAACTAAACGCAACAAAATGCAACCAAATGGCAACCAAACGCTCTGGAACCGTCACAGAAAAAGTTCTGCAGGGAAAACATGAGCTTTCAATCTGAAATCACCCAAAAAGTGTTTATCTTTATTTTCATTCTTTTTATTAAATTCACAGAGAAACATAGTAAAATTGAAGTTCCCTGAATCTGTGATTGTGGAGAAAATATTCAACCAGTCCTAAGAAAAAATAGCAAAATGTGAAGAAAATGTTGAAAAGAACGATTCTGTTAGCAGAGAAATAACAAATGTTAACATTCAAGAAGAAAAATAATACTTTATTGAAACAAAATGTAAAAAAATGTTCAGCAAAAACATGCTGTAAAATAAACAGCCATAGTTCAGAATAACTGAATTTAGCCTCATTTTAGCAAATATAATTAGTTTCCATGTGGTACAGTACTGAGAACAGGACGGAGACAAATCCTGAATAAATATTAGTAAAAAAGGAAAATAAGAAACTGGGAAAAAGTAAGAATATTCATCTACAAACACTTACAAAGAAATTCCTCTAAAATGTGTAATTTTCTAACTAAAGTGACATAATTGTCTACTCTACAGAACCTCCTGAAAATATTACATAAAATTATTTCTTGGGTTTTATTTTGTCCACAATTCCAGAATAAATAAAATAAAATCAGAAAAAGTTTTTATCTTTCATTCTTCTGGATCAAAGAAAAATATGAAAAAAAGAAAATGTTTCCTGAAAGCAGCTCGGCTTTTATTACGTCAGATTTTTACTGTTTCAAAATGTTAAAATAAAACCCAAGAATTCATAATATGAAAAAGGATCATTTTAAAAAAATGAAAAGAGGATGTATGGAGCAGTTCCAAGCAGTCAGTATCTAACCTGTTGTGGTTACATTCACACAGCAAAAGACAAGCACAATTCGGTTTTGTCCATATCCATCCGTTTCACTGAACGACCCAATTCTGATCTTTTCTCTCCCAATAAAACCAATCAGAGCTGCTTTCATATGTGGACCTGAATCTCATCCAATAGTTTTCAAAGGTTCTTCAGTCCGAACGGTGACGTCGCATTTCATCCGACATGCCTCAGAATTCTGCAGCAGAAGAAGCCAGACTTTAAATCTGGACGTAAACATCTGAATATGATAGTAATGAAGTAATGAAAGCAGTCAGAGTCAGTGAACGCATCACATCCAAACCTCAGAATATAGACAAAGATGTGAACACAACTGTAATGGAAACAGCTACTTTCAGCCCTATGGAATGAATTCTGCACGTAAGACGTTGATTACTCATAACTACTCCACACAACCTCGATGTATAAAACACAAACTATCCCTTTAAATGACCGTTTTGTGTTCTGGGCTCAGCAGGGGGTCCCAATGGCGGCTGCAGAGTCTTTCACTGCCTCACAAACGGCCTTTTCTGCCGCCACGCTCTTCATCGCCTCCTGTTTGCCAGAGGGGGTGAGGGAGGAAGGCGAGGGTGAGGAGGGCGAGGAGAGGGTGGAGGCGGGGGCGGTGGAGGCCGAGGATGAGGAAGAGGAGGAGTCAGGGAGGCACTCTTCGCAGCAGCAGCAGCAGCAGTCCATGAAGGCCTGGCCCAGAGAGCGGCAGAGGCACAGCAGCAGAACCGGCGTTGCCGAGCAGCGAACGAACAGCAGGAAGTGTTCGACCAGAGCCAGCGCCGGCAGAACCAGAACCGGGGCGGACACGTAGGCCAGGGTGATGCTGCACACGCTCTGAGGCAGATTACAGCTGACGTACAGGGCGGTGAGCGCCATCACGGCGGTACGCAGCCTCTGCTCCCTCACTTGCTGCTTCTTCTTCCCCAAGGAGGAAGAGGAGGAGGAAGAGGAGGAAGAGCATCTGCCGGCCACCTTCTCGGTGCCGGGTTTCTGCGGCTCCCGCTGGGACAGAACCCTCCTGGTCACCAGGTCGCAGGCCAGAGTGAAGAGCAGCGGCAGGCACAGGTAGCAGCCGAATATCCACCACATGCGGGCCTGGTGGTAGGTCAGAACCAGCGCGTAGACGCTCTCCGGGAGCTCCGCCCACGGCTCGCGGACGCAGGCATCCACCTTCACCCGGTCCGCCCTCAGAGAGGCCAGGAGGGACGCCGCCGGCCGGTGCTGCGTCAGGTCAGAGGTCGGCGCCGGCAGGCTGACGGTCTGCTGGACGAGCTGCCACAGCAGCAGCTCTGGAGCCCCAGCACCATGGAGCCGACCCAGATCACACCCACCTTGGACAGGATGGAGCGGCACGGCTCCACCTTCGGCGTCTGGTGGGGGGAGGGCGAGGTGGCGGCGTGGAAACGATCGATGCTCAGCGCGCAGAGGCTGAAGGTCGCCACGCCCAGAGAGGTCACCTGGCAGAGGAGACAGAACCCAGACCAGTTTCAAATGTTTCTCTGGCTGCAATAAGACAGTTCAGAACAAAACGGCTGAAGATCCGATTCCCTCCCAGCTCCACAGAAAGTTTTCTCCAAAGTCGTGTTCATTAAAATTTATTTCCAAAATTCCCTTAGAGGGGCAGTATAATGTAAAACCGACCTGTTTTTAGATTTACATCATGTTATAACGTTATTACCTCATCAATGAGAGATTCTTTCATGAAATCCCTTCATCTCCACAGCAGCCATTCAGCTGTGCACAATCCTTTATTTTGCCTGAACAGACAAACTCTATCTCTGTCTGATTCCAAACATTAACTCAAATAATCTACGTCCATATCAGGACCAGCAACAACTCCGGCTGCAGAAGCAACTTCTGCTCTGCAGGCTGGCAGTTCATGGAGACTCGACTGAACAGAAGGGGGAAGATTTTGACCAAAAGAAACAGACTTTTCCTCCCTCAGAGAGCTTAGTGAGATGAAACAGTTTAGACCAGCTGAGGGTAATTACTGCTGAGATGTAATTAGCATGAGAAAAGCTGAACTAACAGCAGACAGGGGGCAGCTGGCAGCTTGACCTGCTTAAATGCTCCTCAGCAAAAAGAGCAATTAAAGAAAACGGTCATTAATTAGCAGAAACAGATTCCCTTGTTTGCATGAAAAGAGGTGAATAAGCAGAGCCTTGATGAGGCTGGAGGGCCGACCTCGTTACGGCCCTCTGCAGACATGCTCCTACAAATGAGGAGAAGCTCCAGTTCAGGGAGCCGGGAGTCCAGCTGGAGCCCTGCAGAGACGGGAAACTATAATAAACTCAACCAGCTGGTTGACTGTAATGGACAGTTTAACTTCTCACCCTTTGTACTTTTTCCTTATTGCACTATGTGAAGGTCATGTTAAGAGGTGGGAGAGGGAAACAGGGCAGGTGGTCCAAAGGAGAAAATACATTTTGTATGCAGAGTTCTGAAAAATACTGTTGATATGACAATGCTCCTAGTTATAACAAGATTTAATAAAAACTCAAAGGCCAGTGATTGAGTTCTCATCGCCTTATTTAAATTCCATGATGTTGATGTTGTTGCCTGGATCAGCGAGCGGAAGGACGAGAGGACAGGAGCCCAGGGACTGATAGTTATCCTCCATCTATACGAGGATATATGTAATCTAAAGATGGGAGGATTTGGACCCTGTTACCTGCATCTAAATGCTGCCTGAATTCACAAACTTCATAGAGGAGGAGCCAAAGTGTTGGGGTGTAATGTGGGAGGTGATGGCCAAAGGTGGGGACGACGGCGGTCTGAAGCTCTGGAGGGGAAGGATCCTGAATTGGTGTGTGAGTTTGAGAAATACCAGCTAGAAATGGTTTGATTCCCTCGACACACGACTCTGGAAGCCGTCTCCTCCAGATGGGTCGGACAGATCTGATCCTGTCGCCTTCATCAGGTTGTGATCTACATCTTTTTCTGGAGTGGTTCAAACTGAGTGTGAAGCGACTGGGAGGAGAATTTGAGCCTATAGTCTCGAGCCAGAAAAGGCCAGAGCGCCGTCTCTGGGTCTGGGAAGAGGTTCTGCACTGAGTGGAGAAGTTTAAGGTCTGGTTCATAACTGGACTAGGAGATGGACTGATGGGTCGGTGCAGCATCTGTAGTGATGTGACTGGTGTATCAATCGGTCGTCGCTCTACATCCACGGACTGGTTCCACCATTGTGACCTCAGATTCTCTCCAGGTCAACTGTCAAGGTGACATTTGCCACTAAAGTGGAAACTGTCTTGAGCTGTGAAACAAGAGTTGAGTTTAAATCTGTGATTCTGCTCCAAAACAACTAGAACATGGAATTAAACAGTTGCTTCACTTGTTCTACCTGACGGTCCTTCCTGACCCAATAAACCGGGCCACAAACTTTAAATATTTTTATTTTAGCTTGAAGTCGTCAGAATCTGTGTCTGTCTTCACTCAGACCCGGCTTGGATCTTCGGTTCTGCACCTGCAGACAAACAGCTGAGCTCTGCAAACTGTTTGTTTCTGAGATCCAACAAACAAGAGATGCTTCACGCTTCACAAACAGAACCAAAGAGGCCAAACGGGTCACAACAGCCCGCTCTGTTCAGAGGGAAGCCGTCTGGATCCAGGGACAAAGAGCCATTCATCAGTTTGCTTCAGTCGGTTCAACATGAGGAGTAAAAACAGCTCAGATGGAGAACTGGGTCTGAACTGAATGTGTTCACCAGCTGGACTCTGAATTTTCCATTAACATTAAATAATTACGATAAAAATTACATAGTGAAGATTGTTTAACATTGTGAAGGTCAGTGAAGAAGACAGAAAATGTTGATTAATGCGATAATTGAAACCAGAGTTCATATGTTTGCATTATTCTGCTGTTTGGATGTTTGTCATGTGGCTTCAGTGAGGAATTGATTTATGTTCATTGTTAATCATTTCGGTGAATTGTTTAGCATTGTTCTGTTTGTGTTGATGTTCATCATGTGTTGGTTTGGGTTAAACCATCCAGAGACGTCGTCTGCTCTACATGAAGCCCTGTGGCTTCAGGCCTTTGACTTTTCAAACATATAACCTCAAAAATGCCGTTTCTTTCTCTGATGCTGTGAGTCCTACGCTACATGTTGTTAGCAGTAATCAGTGATGCTGTGTTTTGTTGGTAATAAATGTTTGTTCAACAAAACAAAAGTTTTGTAATTGTAATTTATTTAACTGTGTGTAAATTGTTGACATCGTTTAGTAAGTCAAACTAAGATTCTGCTGCTGCAACAATGAAAACCAGGAAAATGATGAACAAACAAACTCAAATCAATTGAGTTGCAAACTTAGTGACTTTTTTGGAAAAAATATTTTTTAGGAGCAGTTTTACTTCGGCATTATTTAACTTATCTTGAGTAACATTTCAGAATATTTCACTCTGTGTGAGTAACTGAACAAACATCTTGATGCTTCAGAAACAGACACATTTGAATCGCTGCTTTGGATGATATGATCAGCAGTGAGGAAATCAGTGATCATTTGACCCACATGTGCTTTTTATTAACCAACTCATAAATATATATATTTCTTCATAATTGGTTTTATTTAAATGGTCAGAATTATGACATCATTTTCGATTAGATAATAATATTTGGAATTTTATTTCTGAACTAAACTAAGTTAAAGGTGGAGTTGTATTAATATTGAATCAAAGTGACTTTCAGCCGGAAACAACCCGCGCGCTTCCGCTCTCTCACCTCCAGGTAGGGCACGAGCCGACAGGACAGGTCTCCTAGCAACCGCTTCAAGGTGAGCTCGTGGAAGATGACGACGGGCAGGCAGAAGAAGAGCACGAGGAAGTCCCAGAAGGCCAGACCCGCCAGGATGCAGTTCCACGCGCTCTTCAGGTAGAAGCTGTGCCACACGATGCACATGAGCGCGAGGTTCCCCACGAGACCCGCCGCGAACAGCACGAGCGCCAGCAGCAGCACCGCGTACGCCCAGTAGGAGGCGTCCGTGACCGGGAGCAGCGGGTTCAGGAGCCCCGCGGAGGAGTTGGCCCGCGGGGCGGAGGACTGGCGGTGCGTCCTCGGCGTGGTGAAGAAGCCGCTCGGGTCGTCGTGTCTGCGGGGAGGACTGTTCTGGGAAACCGGGTCTCTTTTCCTGAAACTCCCATCTTTGGCTCCTCGAGTGACCCGCTTCAGGCTGAAAGTTTCCGGCCCGGTCCTCTCCTCCGTCCCCGCAGCCAGACCCGCAGCATCCTCCGCCTGGACGTCTGCGGCTGTGAGGACATGACGGAGGTCCGCGCTGCGCAGGAAGAGCAGAAAGACGCAGCAGAAAAGCCTCATGGTTCCGCGGAGCCGCTGCTGTCCTGCATCTGCTGAGACTCAAGCAGGAGACAAGTGAGACGGTCCAACCTCCCAGGGGTCCTGATGGACAACTTCCAGAGTCCAACCAAGTTCAGCATCCAAGTTTACAAAAACAGCACAGAGGATCCGGTGAGACGTTTCAAATTAAAGGCACGAATTTAAAACAATTTCAGAATTGTGGAGGAATGTGAGGGAACAAAATGGAAATGACTAAAAACTATTGATTAATAATTTGTTATTTATTAAAATCAGGTTACTCTGAATAAATGAGCCCAATAAGAGGTCCATTCATTCCAGCTTTACAACAATACAAATAATAACAAATTAAATGATAAAATGTATTTCATTTCTTTGCAGGACACAGGAAAACCTGAACATTTAATCAAATCTACATATTTTTATTATTGATATCACAGATTCATTTATGTTAGATTTCACCACAGAATCAAAAACTGAGACAAAACTTCAACTTATCATTTCTAGATAAGTAGTAGTCGCCTAAACGCCTTGGTTGTGTTGTAACTTGGGATTTTAGTCACCCATGGTGACACCATTTCACTGGAACCATAAAACCACTGATGTCATTCTGATCCACAGGTGAGACACTGATAACCGTCGGTGGGAACTAAACGTTTGTTGTCTCTAAAGATTCCTTTACTGAAGAAATGCAAATGTCACAACTGAGAACTTCAGTTAAGAAAGACGACATGATATCATGTCTCTCATATCATGCCGTTTTTTGATGTTTCTTCTAACAGCATGCAGTCTTGTTTTTCATTAGATCCAACAAATATCATGTGCAGTTTATCCAATCGCTACACTTTGATCCAAAATGTTTATACACATCAGTTCAAACTGTAAAGAACCTTTTTATTGGTCCCTAAAACTACTTCTTTATTTTTTTTTCTGTTCCTGAGGGATCTGTCACTTTCCTTAAATCAAGATGAAGTTTGAAAAACTGTAGAAGTATACATTTTTTATTATTAAATTACAGTCTTAGATAAATATGAACCCTTATTTAAAGATTTTTATATAAATAGCTCTTTTGTCACATTTCACAAATCAGAAAAATATTGTTGAATATTTTTAAAAATTGCCAAGACATAACTTACCTTTAAGCTTAAAAAGAATTTCACCTTTTAAAACTATGGAGTACGATTAAAAAATTTATCTTGAAAGTGTTTGGCAACTTTGAGTCACATCCTTACAGAAAAATAAAATCTGTTACTCATGACACCTGGTGCATTTTCTCTGGAATTTAAAAATTTGTTCCCAGAATGGATTCCTCCCATTTGGGAAATGTTGGGCGTGGCGACAGCCTTGGAAAGCGGCCAGTGGAGAGTCGGATCCCAGTTCAGTTCCAGTTCAGTTCCAGACTGAAAGCCTTCAATCGTTTCATCGTCTCAAGTGGAAAAGCTGAGCAGGGAGACAAGGATGTTCTACTGCAACGACTTCCTCAACGGCTTCCACTGGTCCAAGGGGTCCAGCACCATCAATGGGTCCAGCACCATCAATGGGTCCAGCACCATCAATGGGTCCAGCTTGCCCAGAAACTGGTTAAAAGATCATCGATATTCAGGTACAGTATTAAAAACATCAATATTTATAGAAACTAGGCTGTGTTATTATTGCATGCAGTAAATGAAAAGCTTTAATAAGTTTTAGACGGAGGCTCAAACTACGATTATATTACCTATCAATTAAACTATCAGTGAAACTGACACATTCTGCACATTTTTTATTTTCAATAAAAATGCAGTGAAAAGATGCAAATAAACAAGTAATGGATTCAATTTTTTTATGTAAGAAAATAAAAATTTTATTGCCTAAAATGCAATAAATTTTTTTTTTCAGGGAACATAAACATAATTACTCAACTTCAAACTATACACAGTGTAGTACTAATCTTTTGACAGTTTTTTGGATTGAGTTAAATTGGAAATCAATAAGTAATTATTTTGTTTACAGAATTAGGAAAAGGTGAAACTAAGACTTTACACAAAGCTTTTTTGTAAAAAATGTACATTTTTTGAACAGTTTTGGCTTATTTATTGCTCTGACATTTTCATTATTTTAAACATTTTTTAAAATAATGAATTCATCACAATTAATCTGACTAATTGTTTCAGCTCTTATATGGACCTCAGCCCTGTAGTAACTCAGTTTTATCCGAATATTGTTTTTATATATATAGTATAATTTATATTTTAGATATTAGCAGAGAAAGGGAATCGGTGGTCAGTCACATTTTGGCAGCAGATTACATTAATAATTAAAAATATATTTTAAAGTTAGTAAAAAAGAATAACTGAATGCAGATTTTAAAATTTAAATTGTGACTCAGAAAGAAAAGGACACTTCTTGTCAAAATTTGATTGCTTCACAGGCAAGATAAACTGAGTCTTTTTTGTTTTTTCAGTCAAATCACTTTTCATATTTCACCTAAACAATACACTCCCATTCCAACACTCATTTCTATTTTTGTTTTTTAACTGTGTCTGTCTGTAGTCTGCAAAAATGCAATTTTCACAAAAATGTGAATGAAATTGTTTTCTTGCAGCATCAGGTTGAAAATAAATTTCTTATGAAATACTTTCATAAAAGTTTGCATCAGATCTTTACACTTGATAAGCCTTCTTTTATCAGTGACTACAGTTGTTTTTCCATTTCCCTTCAGCTTTTCAGGAGGTGGCGCTCCACTGCGAGAGCAACAACAAGGCGCACCACACCAGCTCAGTCTCAGTGAAGCAGCTGATTGTGAGGAGAGGCCAGCCGTTCAGCATCACCCTGAAAATGACTAAACCTTTCAACCCTGACTTGGATCAACTCACCATGAAAGTTGTGACTGGTTTGTTTTTTATTATTTTTTGAAATGCCTTTTTTTAAAAACTAATTCTCGGTCTGAAATAAATAATTTACTTATTTATTAATGAAATGTTGGTTTTAGAACTTATAAAGATACTTTTTAAGTAGCTTTATAAGCTACTTAAAAAGTAGCTTATTAACAGTAGAAAGAAAATATTCTCACATATTAGCGTTAATAAGTACAAGGTTAATTGTTTTTTATTTTGCAGGGAAACATCCATCTCAGGAGCAAGGAACAATGTCATATTTTGGTTTTCTGGACAAACTGAAACGTTCATCACGTGCTAAAGCAGTCTGGAGAGCAGAGCTTCAGAAAAACAGGCTTCCTGAAACAGGAGCGTTGGCTCTAACGATAACGCCGCCCGCTGACGCTCCGGTGGGGCAGTACAAACTTTCTGCAGGACTTAAAGCTGAAGAAAAGGAGTTAGCACAACTCTTTGTGCTCTTCAACCCTTGGTGTCCTGGTAGGACATTTTCTGTTTATTAATCAAAAAAACAAAGTGATTGCTCATTTTCTTTTATGTGTTGTTTCCTATCAAAATGATGGACAATTTCTACGTATTTTAAACATTGATAAGACACTGACTGCGCACAGCAACCACACAGGACCCCACTTAAATAAAATCCTTGGTGTTTATCTCTTTATTTTCTGTTTGTGTAGATGACTGGGTGTTTCTGCCTAATGAGGCAGAGAGACGCGAATACGTTATGAACCAACATGGAATAATCTACACAGGTTCTGATCGATACATTAATGGACTTTCCTGGGACTTTGGACAAGTAGAAGATGCAGAGAGTAGAAAATTGAGGAATACTTGATGCACCATTACTTTGAAAAAACACCTAAACAGTTTGTTTTCTCTTAAAAAAAGAAAAGTATGTCCTGGAATACATTTTATATTAGTTTAATACACTCAAGTATTTGAATTGGTACAAATAATTTCATTTTGAATAAATTCTGATGCATAAGACGCTGTTTATGAATATTTTTCTTTGTTTTCAGTTTGAGGAGGACATGGTGAAGATATGCCTGAAGTTACTCAACCTCAGCAGGAAACACAAGCTGAACTCGGCTGACGACGTTTCTGCTCGCTGTAACCCCGTCTACGTCAGCCGGGTCATTACCAACATGGTAGGAACTGGTTTATATATTACATGTTAAATTTTGTGTAGATTAAGAAAACATTTACTTTTTTGTATAGATAGATTTTAGCCACAATATATTGGTGAATGTGGTATTACTGCCAGGCTTCATATTATTTATTTTCATTCCTTTTGTTATCAGAACTGCAGAACTATATTATTTGATTTTTTTAGATGTACATTTTATTCTTTGGAATTTTCTTTTAAATAAAATCAATATGTGGTTATTGTTTTAAATAACTTGAATGCATTAAATCCAAAAGGTTGCTCATTTTTTTACAGTTGATATATTAGCAAACATAATCAGTTAATCATAATTGTTTTCATCATGAGTGATTTATATTCTGGAGAAATAACAAAATATCTTATAACTGCTTTATGAGTTCTAAAACCAACATTTTATTAAAAAAAAGTCCTTGGGTGACAACAGGTACTTTGTACTTAGATCTCACACAACTTAGATGAAAATTGTCTTAATCTGATGCTACAAGTTAAAAAAGGTGGTGAAAAAGTCATCAGACTGGACATTTGGCAAACAAAAGGCATCTGCACCACGATCCCCAGTGTGTTTTTAATCTGTTAAATTAATGCGAAAGTCTAAAAGTTATCAAAGTGATCTAAACAATTTTAAATGTAAAAATTAATTTCAGATTTTGGTTCTAAGAAAAAGTTAATTGACGGAACTCAACATAATTAATGTAGTATTTCTGATAAAAAATAAAAATAAAATCTGTGTTTTATCATTTACAATAATAAAATAACTAAAAACTTCTCAACTAATTAAGTTGGAAACACATAAATGAGCTCCTCCTTATCAAAATATTAACTTTGCTCTTTATTATTTATTTTTCAGGTTAACAAAGAAGAAATGAACGATGGCGTCCTGCGGGGAAACTGGTCAGGTGATTTTAAATATGGCTTCCCTCCATTGGAGCGGCAGCTACGCCATCCTGAAGCAGTGGTTCGCCTCCTTCTGCAAACCTGTCAACTACGGCCAGTGCTGGGTGTTCGCCGGCGTCTTGTGTTCAGGTGAGATC